GTATATATATGTATATATATATATACATATATATATATATATATATATACGATATTGCTTTATCGAGCATTGTTTCTTCTATTATTTTATTATTTATATGCATATAATATAGCAGCAACATTGATTCAATTCTACACAGCTAAAAACAATTTTATTTTGTTTACAATTAGGTAACTGAGTCTATTGTTATGGTAGTCGAAAACCTGTTCAGTGTCGATGAGAATATTTTAATACAAAGTCAAATGGAGAATCAGGCACCTACTAGGATTGTTGAGGTTCTTGAAGGTCAGTTGAGTAATGTAGAACTAAATGACGAAGGCATTTATGAAGAAACGGCCCCCAATCTTGCAGTTCAGGCTCAAAGGTTTGATGTCAATCAGTTCAGTCAAGAGGATATCACTTACCTTAGTTATATATCAGAATCAGATGAGAACAGAGTAGGTAATATTGAAGTACTTGAGGATCGAGAGGAAATACCCGATGCTGCCAATGTGTCAATTGCTTTACCAGTCAGCATATTTGATGTCGTCAAGAAAAATAATATGACAGGTACTTACAACTTTATAGTAGTAAAACTTTGTCTAGATCGTCAAAGTTTTTTTTTGACAAAAAACGGTTGTATGCCCATATTATAATAGTCATAAAGATGTCTATAAATGGTCATGATGTGATGTCACCCATGGTCATGATGTGATGTCACACATGGTCATGATGTGATGTCACATATGTTTGTCAAATAAAATGTGATAGTCTGAACAGGACTTTAAATTAAAACTGTGTTGATCTCAAAATCTTATTTGGTTATAGGAAAATCAACCCTCTTTTTCTCATGGGTATATACGGGTACCTTGCATAATGTAAATTATTTAAATTAGATAGCAGTGCTAGCACTGCTACCCAGAGAACACTACTTTACCCTACTTTACATGAGCTATAGTCCTATGTAATGAATAAGATTATATAAATGTAGTGACGAGTGGGTATGAGTTTATTAATATTTACGTGACAATACAACATTTACATATGATGCGTTTGTTATGAACAGATTTCAGGATTGTAGTGGTTGTCTACAGCGGCAGTAAATTGTTCCAATCTGCTCTCTTTGTTAACAACAGCCTAAGTCGCAGACCAAATAGTCAAGTTATATCTCTTTCAGTGCCTGGATTAGACCGTGTGGAATTGCAGGAACCAGTTGTTACTACATTTATTCCTCTTAAAGTAACATTTTAGTTGATTTTCTGTTTTCTGTTATATACTAATGTTATAATACTAAAATTCATAATTATTATAGTTAATAATACCACTGTCACATGGTTTTCCGTGTCTGATAAATTTTTCACTCCCTCATCTTTGATCTATAGAAAGTGTACAATCCTCCACCGCACCTTTCCCTTCCCCCACCTCTTGGGGCAGTGGTTTTTGCCTGCCTGGAGAATGCCAAATTCACTAACTCTCGTACAGATAGTGGATTGGGAGTAGGGCGAATTCACTTGGGAGGAATACCTGTGCCACTGGTATTCAAACACTAAGTGATATATTATAGGCAATTCGTGATATATATTAGACAACAGATGATATAATAGACATTATGATTATAGTAGACAATAGCTGAATTATAATATACAATACATTATATAATTAACAAAAGATAACATATAATATATTTTTGACACTTAGATATATAATAGTCAACCTCCTTATATGTAAAAAAAATTATGTCATTCAGTTTTCCATTGTAAATGCAAACATTTTTGTTTTTTGGATAATAAAGAATTAAAAAAGAAGAAAGAGAATAATAATAATAATAATAATAATAATAATAATAATAATAATTATTATTATTATTATTATAGATGATGGAATTATATAATTATTTTTAATAATATTATTGACCATAATCCAAATAATATGACAATTATTGTTAATAATTTTTTTAATTACTAAATATTGATATTATCTTTACATTTTACAATAGTCTGTCTCACACATATACATTTCCAGATCAATGACAGTATCATAAATACAATGTGTGTATTTTGGGACTTTGAACTTGACGGAGCTGGTGGATGGTCAAGTGAGGGCTGCACGTTTGTAAATGAATCTGCGGATGGGAGAGATAGACAATATTGCGAGTGTTCCCATCTTACCAACTTTGCTATACTTATGGTAAGGTACACTATTAGTAAAAAAAAAACAACTTGTGTTCTCAAAACAGTTAAAATAAATATCCTACTAACTGTTGAACAAAGCACATTTGCTCACTAAATTTATATTCAGAATTTGTAGAATTTAAAATACATAATATTATTCTAAAAGAATTTCATCTGGTTCCATATTTAATATAGTAGGAAAGTATCTGTTTTGTTTGTTTTTCATACATAATATTATAATTGCAGTTGTCATGGGCGGATCCACCGTTTTGCAAATGCAAAGGCACATGTTGATGATGTAATTTTGGACAAGTGGTCCAGGGCCTTCCCCGAAAAAACTTTGGTTTATAGGCCTAGATGCTCGGATATATAGGACATAGGTAATGGAACGTTTTGAAAATCGTGACGAACCTACTACAATTTATTGTATATAATTCATTTTATGCTATTATAATTTCCCATGTGATGCTTATCAACAGCTGAGTTCATTAAACATGTTTCAGAAGGTTTAGCTGGAAAACAGGACGGCTTACCCACAAAGAATTTTATTTTAATGTAAGGGTTTGTTAGGAATGATAAGAAACGAGTTGTGCTACATGAGTGCTAAAGTGGTAAAGCACAGGGGCTCATTAAGAAGTAATAAGTAAAAAGTTACTCCTATTTCATTAATCATTGCAATTATTTAATATATTTGTATTTGCTCCCATAAAAACCCAAATATTCCAAATAAATACTTAATTTTAGCCTGACAAATCCAGTGTTATGTAGATTGCCATACGTATACTCTGTGTCAGCTGAGAACAGCTGTGGAGTGCAATGCACTCTTATTTATCTTTTGCTGATTACTGTCTTTTACTGAATAAATGGGCTCGAAGTGAGTTCATCGTGAATGGGGACCAGAAAGGTTTTGTGGTCGGGGGTAGGGCGAAGGCCCTGGAAAAAGTAAAAAGCAGACTTTACCTTGATGTTGTTATTATCATTTTGAATTTTAATAGGATTTTAAGAGGGTTGATCCTCTTCCACCATCAGCTACAATCGTGACTACAGTTGGTTTAAGCATATCAATCTTATGTCTTTGCCTAACAGTTCTTACTTTAGTAACCAGCAGGTATGTATATAATTAATTGTAAAATATTTTGTATCACTATTACCTCATACATATTATTAGGTAATAGCATTATTTAACATCTCATCAATTCCACCCAGCAAGAGGTGTGGTATTTTTTATTACCTCCTTTCGTGTACCAAATTTACGCGTATGCAGGGCAAAATGTACCCAAAATTAACTACCACACCCTCACCTTCGTCAACCGTATGCAATCTCTGTAATTTTATTTTCACTGATCAAAACTGCAGCAGACGGGCGGTTTGATATTTATAAGATATATTTAAACAAATACCACATGTTTTAATTGCGGTAAAGCAGTTATAATATTCTAATTTGGATACTAAACCTTTAAAACAGTGACACTTAATATTATTACATGATAAAGGTGCATCCAAAATTTGGTTAACATAATATATTACGACATACAATACAAAAAAAAATATTGGCCTACTGCGTTTAAGTATAAATAGGAAAATATTCACTCAAACAATTTACAAAGCCACCCCATCGAACACCCACCCTCATCAAAGTGTCATTAGGAAATGATGTCTTAATAGAAGCAAAATGATAAGAAGAATGGCCCTCCAATCCCCGGAGTGACCCTTACTCCATTTAATATTAATTAGGCAGTACACAAAATACAAACTTAAAGTTAAAAACCAAAATTCAAAAAGTCCTTACAAAATACAATAAAGCAGAAAGGAAAATGAACTAAACTGAAGTAATTAATTAAATATAAAATTTAAGGTATTCAGAACACGAACAGAAAAAGTAGTCATACAGATGAGAATTCTCTATCTTCCATTCGAGAGCACACAACCTACTAATCCCAGTGACCCCATCATCCCCTCGCTTCTTCGTACCAGGTGAAATGGTCCCTCGTTGTGATCTTTGGGACTACCTCCCGCCGTTTCGCATCGAGAGGTAGTCCCAATTATCCAGCACCACAGAAAGTAGTATTCACTATCAAGTTGTATTTGTATGCTATTAGGTGAAGATCAAAATATGGCAACCACCTATGCAACAAGCCCCGCTGTAAAATTTGTAAAATCCTCATCACTGATCACTTCATCCTAGTTACAACTACTCCATAAAACCTCCCAACCTCTAATGCGATTCTTATAACATAATTTATTTAAAGTGCCTCTGCCACCTATTCTGACAATTTTTATAAACTACAGCGTGTTTATATTTATAAATATATTATAAATACAATTGTTAGTCATATATTACGAATAAAATTGATTTTGTACGAAAATAATGAGTTTGAAGTGTCATTTTTGAAAGACCTTAGAAACAAAGAGGTCACTTAATGACGTCATTGGTGACCGACTTTGCCAAACTTCATCCAAGCGCGAAATCAAAACAAACACTGCGACGGTGGGCTAGCGGAGGAAGAAAAGCCCGAACTTCTACCCTAGGCTGTTAGTATATTACATAGTTTCCCGAGTTTTACACAATATGCCAGTAAATTGTGTTGTAGGGGGTTATAAGTGCACACGAAGTAAATATTTTACGTTACCTTAGATAGTAAAAGACGTTGTTGAGTTAAATTTGTCAATTTTACAATTCAAATTTTCATGGGCCGGATAAGCACAAGTCAAAAGAATTCGTGTGCTCACTTCGTGGATGATCACTTCATGTGGATTCAAAACGACGTTGGGCTTGCAATGCAAACTAGGCCTAGCTCTGAGAGATCTTGCTGTGTCTACTATTAAAATATATAATATTGTCAATGTCATAATTTTAATTTATGAATCATTTGAAAAATACATACAGTAAATTTTATTTATTATTTAATTCATAAATAGTACTACATTGTACAAGCAGTGCTATTACTAGGGCCTAGAACTGTCTCTTATACACATCTAGATGTGTATAAGATACAGGTTATAATTAATGGGATGTTCGTTATAATAACAGATGAGACTGAATAAGCTAGGTCAAGCCTAGCATAGGAAGCGCGCCTTTCCTTAACTTAGTAGCCTAAAGCCTATGGAGTAGTGGTAAAAGAAGCAATTTTTACTTCTTCACTGGGCCCCTTTCGCACACATAGGTCTAGCAGCCTATGGGCATGGGCCTTATTTCATAGATAGACCTAGGGGGCCTAGCTACGCGCTACCTGGGCCTAGGCTAGGTCTAGCCTGGTGGGCCTATGACTGTAATTCAATAAGTAATATAACTTACAGGCACCTCTCATTGTTTACGGCTGAACATCTTTTAAACAAATCTTGCAAAAGTCCGTAGGCCTAGCCTAGTACCGTATTTAGCGTAGGTTGTTTGTTTTTTGGTTTTAATTGCCTTATTTTACTGTCTTCTGTCTAGGCCTATGCAGCAAGCAAAAAAAAAATCACATCCCATTTTTTGGTTGATGATAAAGCAATCTTGAATTTGCGGCGGTTTCGGTAAAAGATGCTGAAGGCCAGGGAGATCGAAAATTTCGCCTTCACGGTTCAAGTTTCTACTAGGGCCTATATCTACCTAGGCATATCCATGTCTTTGTCCTTGCGCTATGAATGACTGAATAAAAAATACGTTTTTCTAGCTAGCGCTTTATTACAAAATTAAAACTGTTGTTTGTTACGCGCGCACACACTGTCACATGTATAAAACGCGCGAACACTCTTCCTATCCATTGAACTATTTATTTGTGATGGAAGAATAAGGATTTATGATACCGTACGTAACAGTACCTAGGCCTACACCTAAAAAAACCCCCAAAAAACAGAACATCGGATTTTTCCATTCCAAAGTGAGTAACGACAAAAGAGACAATTGTGAAGGTTTACGACTTTAAATTTATTGTGATGTTTCTATGCACGTTGAGACCAAGTCGGCTATGCTAGCCTATGGCTATGTATGGCCTAGGCATGTCTAAAATATATTACATAGGCCTACAACTAAATGTTTTAAGCATGGAGGAATTAGTTTTGTAACACGTTACAAAGATGTTACAAAACAACGATAATTCAACAAACAATACATACATGAATGTAGGTACTGTTGTAGGTGTAGTCTAGGCCTAACAGTAATGTATTTATAATTCATTGAGAATTCACCTCGTTTACTGTACCTTTTTTTTTATTTACTCGCGAAAGGCCACCTTATAAGTTATTATTAAGTGTGGCCTACCTCCTCCTAGCCTAGGCCTAGTCCTATAATACAGTATTACTGTATTATTATTATTAAAATTTCGCATATCTATTAATATTAACATACAATATTTTCATTTCCTTTAATTTTCCACTTGTGTCGAATGTTGTTGTAACGAATGTGGCATCATATTACTTGATCGGTATTAGAAATGGAGCACACACTGATGATAAACAAATGCTTGAAAACCAAGGTGGATAGTAGTGATACATTGGCCTGCCATGTCGATCTTTTCCATTTTTGCTACAATGACTGGTTTTTTCATTGTCAGTGCTTGGATTATTTTGACGGATTGATTTTTCAATTGGTGATGACGGGTTCAAAATATTGTAGTACTATTCAGTGCAACAACATCTATCACCATCAGTAATAATATATTGCCCTATTTACTACTTTTGACTTACGCACTTGTCTCTCAACAAACACGTCTGTAATTATCTCTAAATAAACAGGATGCATGGACTGAAACGCCCATTTATAGATCAGGTGCACACCAATTCAAGCCCAGTCCGCTGCCCATTTTGGGGCCTAGAAAAAGTTCGTGGATGTGGTGGTAGCTATGTGCTTTCTTTCTGACGTACACCGTATTTATCAAAGCTCTCTAAAATTATGGCTTAGGCACTATGCCATTTTTAAGTAATAATCATTAATAATAATAATATACGTGATTCATTCCTACTTTTAGTATTATTGCACAACCATGAAGCAGTTAGTAAACAATCTATCGATACGACGAGAGGCTCGCTCTCGCTCCCACACTAGTCTAGGGTCTACTCTAAGATCGGATTCGTAATATTATTACCATCTTCTGTATTTTTTTCTTTTTCATACCAAGACTCATATAAATAGGTATGGACAACAACGTCATTGTCTTCCTCATCTGTTGTTTTTTTATACGATGAGGATGAGTTGAAATATTCTCCGTATACCAACATGCTCGCTTTTTTCTTCCTCCGCTAGGCCGTCGAGGTGTTTGTTTTGATTTCGCGCTTGGATGAATTTTGTCGGTCACCAATGACGTCATTGAGTGACCTCGTTGTTTCTAAGGTCTTACGAAAATGACACTTCAAACTCATTTTTTTAGTACAAAATCAATTTTATTCGTAATTTATGACCAACACTTGTGTTTATAATATATTTATAAATATAAACACGCTGTAGTTTATAGAAATTGTCAGAATAGGTG